TTAGAACCTCAGTCCGGTGACCCTTCCTCAGAACTTTGTTTTTGTTCCTGATTTACAGCATTATTAATGGAAACTGACCTCTAGGAAGTTTTAACTCATGGGAGCTGATTTTTTAATACCTTTGGATTTTACCAAAGCTTGTAATCTGGAACCTATCTCCTCTTTTGTCCAGTTTTCTTTAATTTCCTCAATGAATTGTATGTGTGGACATAGCAGTGAAGCAATTTCCCCATGTATGGAGGGTTTTGTTAATTAACCCTATCTTTGTTTTTTTTAGAAAATTAGGGCTTGGAAAACCCCTTTAGCCTAGCTCAGGAAAGGGGAGGAAAGCAGAGGAAAGGATTCAAACAAATAATACTTCACTATCTCATGCTTAAAGAGGAAAAGTAATCATGATTCAACTTTGCTACCATTCCCCCTTCATCTGTGACACCAGACTTAACTACACACAATTGTAACTTAACAAGCCCCTCAGTTGTAACAAATTAAAGCAATCTGCGATGAAATAGAAGAGATGTCAGGTGGCATTGTGTCTCAGTGGTCAGTATGGACCCTGGTTTGATTCCAGCTTCAGGCAACTGTCTGTGTGCAGTTTGCACTTTCTCCTCATGTCTGTGTGGATTTCTGTTGGGTGCTCTGGTTTCCTCCCACAGTCCAAAGATGTGCAGGTTAGGTGGATTGGCCATACTAAGTTGCCCACAGTGTCCAGAGAGGTGTAGGTCAGCTGGATGTGTCATAGGAAATGCAGGGTTACAGCAATAATGTGGGTTTGGGTGGGATGTTCTTTGAAGGATCGGTGTGGACTTGATGGGCCAAATGGCCTGCCTCCACACTGTAGGGATTGTATGTTTCTATGTCAGTTGCATATTTGCAATTGAGTAGGAAATCACAGACAGAATTAATTGCTAAAAACAAGTTCTAAAGCCTGCTACCAATCAAAGCTGGCAAACTGGCACAGTCAGTGGGCACATTTGCCTTTATCAATGTACTCACTGTCCTTTGAGTTCTTTGAATCTGACATTAGGATCCTGAATATTCAAACATTGAGCATGTGATGTATCTCTGGGGGAGAAAGAGAATTAAAAAAACATAGCAAAATTAAGTAAGATGGAGAGAGGGACTATGGAAAAGTAGATATTTTGTGGAGAAACCTTAGATGTTCTCGACAATTCACTTCTGTTTATATACTACTTGACTTCATGTGTCAGTTCTTCACACTTTGTACATTTGCACCTGCGCTTTTATATGAATGGATGGATGGATTGCTACCTTTTACACAGGGGAAACACCGTAAATTCTATACTCTCAGTTGGTTAAATGAATCATTTTAGTTTTTACTGTCTCCTTAGCAGATGTACAAATTATGATTTAAAGATAACAGATTTTATTTTATCCAGCTGTTTTTGTAAATTTAATAAGGTAGGCAGTTTAACAAATGTCCAGTGTCAAGGCTCCAACAGACTTGAAGAATCAGCAGCGATGTTGAAGAAAGCCATATTTCCTTCCGGTGGTTCCTCTGATCTTGCTAGAAAAATATCTGTAATTAAATTACAAAGTTGCCGCTTACTTGAAACTTCAGTTAAACCAATACTGTTCTGAAATCAGTAGAAACAAGCACAGGACCAACCCAAGGGAAAGAAAAGATTCAATAACTGCATGAAATACATCAAATGTAGGAAAAGATGTAAATTATATCATGCATCTTCAAAATTCCCAGCCTCCCTAAGCATACATTACAAACACTGCCTGATCCGGCCCGAGCCACAACAACAGGCCCGTTTTCCGGCTCTACGTTCTCAGCAGTGGGCATAGCTTGCTGTCAGAGTAAAGTTACTCACCACTAACTTGTACTTGGAAAAGTTAGGCTGTAAATTTATCAGGAATATAATTATCTTAAATCTGCATCATTTTTCTGCTATTAAAATACTAAATTGTTAAATAATGGCCAGAGAGAGAGATAATTAAGGGTCTGCTAAGCTCATTGGAGGATATCCTCTTTCCCAGGTCCACTACCCAACCCCTTGTAGTTCGAAGGTTGACTGTGTTTCCTACTCAATCGCTCTATGTCCACTTGCATTCATTCGAAGCAACACTTTTATGAACTTAAATCCCACAGCTTAACAATCGATATTGATGCAAAGACACTGATACAAATATCTGCTAATGTACACTCACAAAGTGCTTGGTTTCTTGAAAGGTCGGGTGGTTGAACTATCCTGTTCTGTAACTCCAATTCATCCCTGACCAAATCATCCTTTTTAACTGCAGCCACAAGCCTCCTGCACATCCGGTTCTGAGAGCCTTCTATCAGCCTGGGCCTGAAACTACATTTACAGTGATGGTGCTTTTCTATTGGCACAGAGCTTTCAGATTCAAGTTACCCCCTAGTGATTTGATGGGGCTTTGGGGGCCATCACAACTGCCCACATTCTGTTTGCCAAAGTTGAACCACTTTGTGCTGGTCCTTTGTTCAGGGTTGTGTGTGTGTTTGTGGTGTGTGTGTGTGTGTGTGTGTGTGTGTGTCTATTCAGTGGATTGATTTCTGCCTACAAGTCTAGGCATGGTCTGAGTGAATCTTCCGGTCATTGTCTGACCACAACCTAACCCTGTTCTTGTTAGCTCTTGATCCACCAAGCAACTTTAATATGACAAGTACATTGTTCAGACTCTAATATTGCAGTTGTATGACATCTACCAAGAAAATCAGTCCACAAATCATTTCAAAAATGTGGATCAAAGAAACAGTCTACAAAAGTATCAACAATCAAAATACCAACATTTGTAACAGCAATTGTTGGGCAAGTTGTGTTCTGACAATTTCATCACAATCTTGATCTATCTTTATGTTATGTCACTGGTTAGGTTACAGATGGTATTCTCTTAATTTACTGACAACTAAACCTCACTATCTGTAGTTTATTAACAATGTTGCTGTTGCCTGGCTTATTAACACCCTCGCGCCCACACCAGAAATAAGCTTGCTCAGCCTTCTCCCCTAACTAAGAAGCCATTTAGAAAGGGGCATATTCTCAATTTGTCAGACTTGAGAGCATTCTGACATATAGAATGAGATCTTTCAGGAACATCAAACGATCCCCACAAAATATCTGTATTTTTCCAGGATTCGCCTCTCATCCTACTCACCTCGACACTATATGTCTCTAATTTATGAGCAAAGCTGTGTCTATCACAAGGATGATATAATTTATTTTGTGTTTACAGTTAGAGAAAAGCTCTTTAAATCACATGTCATTAAAAATGAATTTTTAAAAAAATCATTAATTAAATAATATTGTTCCAATAAACATTGAAGTACACATTCCCAGATGGTTAATTATACCTGAGGCAGTGTACTGGCATTCTGATCATCTTGCTGTAATTTTCTCATGACTACCTTTAAGCATAAAAAAAATCCCTTCAATTAGTTATTCCTTAAGTGCTTAGCACACATATATCTGTATGAGCTCACAAATTATGGTGCATTTCTTCATTGGTCAAACCTGCACTGTCAACATAGCATTGTGGAGCGACCTCAGGCCCGATTCCACTTTCTGGAAATTATTCTGTTAGACAAATAAGTTTGTCCTTTAGCTTAACAATTTATCTACATGGAGTATAGTCATCTCTCAGAGGAAAGATCCCGGTATATCCCAAATTGTCCCCTAATGGATGTCAACATCTTTTAGTTCATAGACTGCATGTCAGTGACTAATGCACAAGTTAGTCTCAAGTGCAGTCTCAATACCAGATACTATATATCTATCCATCCTATTTCACGAGTCAAAAAGCCAAAAGACTTCTTTACACTGTTCATGTGTCTAATTATCCTATTTTTATTAATAAAATTTAAGTTTTCTGACTGAAAGCACACTGGCAGAATGATACTTCGCTTTGCAGATATTGCTCCTTTGCTTGGTATATGTGAAAAAAATCCAGCACTATCAACATGATATATTCATGATCATGTCCGTTGGAGCCATCTGAGATGCCTTGAGTAGATTCACTGCTTCAAACTCTTCTTATTGATATGAGTCTCAATTGTTGGCACTATGTGGTGAAATGGCCACACTAAAGTTTTGGTAGAATTGCTACTCAGTCATATTAATCAGAAGAGGTTTATTACATTGTGCTGAATAGCTAGTTATATTGCATCTGAGCTATATGATAGTCTTTTCTACAACTCAGGCTGGACTCAAGAATAAGACTAATTAACACATTGCTTTTAGTTACACAGAACTGAACATTAGAATAACTGGAATTCAACAAACTCGTAACAAGCTGGATAACTGCTCCCAGAAATAATCCTTTCTATTCTGAACGGTGAATTTATTTGTGACATAAGTTACCTTTCAGTTATCAGCAGTCTTGTACAGCTCACTCTTCAATTTCCTTTACTTTCCAATTTCTACTTGCCCTTCATTCATTGTTGTTTTTACCCCCTCCCCACTGGCCTTTTGCAATATTCAGTGCTTTCTTTGGCCTTTCCACATTTTAAACTATTGAAATGTTTGTAATTGATTGCTTGGTAGATTGTGCCACATTGTTTCCAAAGGTAGCTATTATGCCCTACAAATTAATGTGGAAAGAGCAAGTTTTACATGATTGAGTGCATTATTCCACTTGTATCATTTGCTTTGTGACTTGAAAAGTGTTCTCTTCTGTGTCAATCTATTCAAATTTTCATGTTGTTGGCCCTACAAGTCTGGTAAAGGTTACACAAATCTTTCTATTAAGACTGTCTTTTTGTGTCTGCATACTTATATAGGACAACATTCTTGAAACTATACATCAACCTCCTTCTGACAACTTGACATGAGTTAATATTGTGAATAGGGGACAATCAGAAAAATTAATTGAATTCTGAATGAGCTTCCCTATATATCATGGGTATGCGTGATGCAATTTTGTTTTCAATAAATGAAAACAATGTTAATAGATTACATTAATACATCTGCATCTGCAAAGCTAAGTTTTATTCCAGTGATAGTGATTGCAAAAAAACTGACAGATCATTAGTTTGAATAAATTGCTTAATAACTTTATACTCCCAAGTCTACATCAAACCTGTTTAACTTCAAACCATTGCATTACTTTTTTACATTTTGTCAAGTTTCCTCCCTGGTTCCACGAGCTGTTCTTGTGTTGATACATGCAATGAATCATGACCCACAAAGAACTGCAGATGCTGGAAATCTGAAACAAAAACAGAAACAGAAACTGTTGGAGAACCTCAGCAGGATCTGGCAGCATCTGCAGTGAGAGTAAACAGAATTAACATTTTGAGTCCAATGGCCTGCTGAGTTTCTCAGAAAATAAATTATGCACCATTCTGCGTCATAACTCACTTCCACTTTCGGCTTCCTTTTCAGCATGTTTGTTTTATATTCCAGCTATCCACCTCGTTATTGTATTACAAATAAGTTCTTAGCGTCAGCATCCTTTAAAAAATCAAGGACTCAGACAAGAACTGGGACAGATTTTGGCCATAGAGTTTTGATATTAGTTTAAAACTCATCTGCTATTAAAAAAAAAGTGACCTACGGATCTTTGAGCTCCCATACTGTGTTTAAATACTGTGGCCAACTTTCTATCTGTTTGTGGTTAGAGCCAAAAAAACTGCAGATGCTGGAATCCAAAGTAGACAAACAGGGGGCTGGAAGAACACAGCAGGCCAGGCAGCATCTGGAGGAAAGGAGCAGTCAATGTTTCAGGTAATTACCCTTCTTCAGGCCTGCTGTGCTCTCCCAGCCTCCTGGTAGTGGTGAAGGTGGCAAAATCAAGCAAGAGAGGTGTCAGATTTCTTTGTGGGACTTGGATGGACAGTGCTCCACTTCCTGACCCCATAAGAAATGTTGAAAAACTTTGAAATCTAATTTTATGGGCCTTTTATGATCCTGATGCTGTTCCCTGTTGGTTTGGCCCTGGTGGGATATCAAATTCATTTCCCACTAAAACTTCCTGGGAAATATTCTGTATTGTTCTGTGTTGGGCAGTTACTCGGGCCCTGGTCAGACCTAAAGAGCGCACTCATCGTTTGCTGCAATCCAGCAGGGACAGACTTTACTCCAAATCTGTGCATCCTGTAAGAACACCAAATAGGTCTCAGAAAGTGCACAAATCTGACTGATAATGTGCTCACATGACTCACCTCTTAAAATGACACTACCCCAACATAACATACCCCAACTACAATGCATAACACCTCTCCCGATTTACTTTCAAACTTCCCCTTAAATAAACAAACAAACAAATAAATATTTACATACTTCCAATCACAATACATATGCATTAGTGGCAAAACTGTTTACATGGACATGATACACAGTTCCATTAGATACAACAAACAAGATGCCACATTTCATAACAGAGCCTATTCAGTGGGCACCTGTTTCACACTGACTGACTTCTTCCTTCTGGTGGAGGATTCACCTCAGGGACATTGGGATCCTCAGGTAAAAAGGGCCCATCCAGAGGGGTTGCATGGGCAGTCTCTTCCACTAAATGTGCTATCCACACTGGCTACTGTCAGTTGCTCTGGGAATGGTGTGTTGCTGTCAACAGGTAAGGAGGAAGCCCCTCCTTGAGGCTGTGTGGTGATGGGTGCTTCCAACACTTGGGGATGTGCCACTAACAGCTGGTGAGCGTACCTTCACCACACCATCCCGTCCTGGGTCTGGACCGTGTAGGATTTAGCACCTGTGGCAGGTACCAGCTTGTCCATTGTGTTGTAGGTCCAAGCTAGTTCTTGGTCACCCAGCCAAAAAGAGAACCTCTTGGAGTCTGTTTCCCTGTGAGACATCTGGGCTGATCGACCCTTCTCGACAATCTTGCGCATTCCTTCAGGTAGCAACAGGTCGAAGGTGGTTCACAACTTCCTCTTACAAAGCATGTTTACCGGCAAGTTCAGGGTAGTGGCGTGAGACGGTTTCAGTACATGACCAGGAAGCCGTTGAATCAATGAAGTGGTCACCCCTCCCCCTTTGACACTTTCAAAGAGTACTTTAATGATTGCCCAAGTCTTTCTACAAGACCATGGGTCAAGGGATGATTGGGTGCTGTCTTAATGTGTCAAATGCCATTACATTGCATGTATTCAGTGAGATCCTGTACAAGGAACTGAGGACCATTGGAAATGACAATCGGCTCTGGGTTACCAAACCTCACAAACATTTCATCCAGTTTCTCAATGGTCAGGTCTGCAGAAGTGGACTTCCTTATCGCCACCTCGGGCCACTCCAGAAACTACCAACAGCAGCATCTGACTCTCAAAGGGGCCAGTAAAGTCAGCATGCACACGTTGATATGGCACCTTGGACCGTTCCTAAGGGCACCTTGGCAACAATGGTGGTGCCTTTCTGATTTTGACGCAACCCTGGGACAAGCTGTCTCCTTTTCTTCAATCTGGACATCTAAATTCAATCAATAAACAAGCTCCTGGTGAGCTCCTTCGTCCTCACCAACTCTGGATAACCATGGTGTGACTGCACCAGCATCTTGTATCGTACTTTTGGAGGATCATAATCCTCTTCCTCATAGTAGACGGCAACTCTGAATCGACAATGCTTACCTTCAGAACGTGTGTGGTTTCCAGGTTGCCTTGCCTTTTATCATCTTGCTTAAAACTGGTATCATCCCACGTTTGTGTCACCATCACCGACACATGTTCTGACTGGGAGAATCCTCAATCCACTGCCTTTCACTTGAGAGCAAGGGCCAACCTGGATAATGCATTGTGTTAGTGTGTCACTCCGACTGCCTGTAGCTTATATCGTATGAGGGCACTGAGGAGAGTAGGGCCTACCTCTGAAGCTGCCTCACCGTTGTTCGGGAATCCCAGTGTATCTGCTAAAGATGAATGTAAGAGACAATGCTCCATTAGCAGAACAAAGTGGCTGCTGTGCATGTTGGGGTAACATTTCCTCATAATGAAAATAGATGTTGAAGGCTTCTTTCTCCAGTTTGCGCATATCTTATCTCTGGATTAGTGAGAGAGTACATAGTGAAGACAATGGCCTCACCTCTCTATTGGGTAGGATGTGTAGCAGCACTGCACCAATTTAATATGATGAAGCATCACATACTAATTGCAAAGAAAACCTCAGGTCAAAGTGAACCAGAATGTCTGATCTCTAGAGTGACTGTTTGACAGTGAGATATGCACGCTTGCAGTCCACATTCCATTTCCAAGACTGACTTTTGCATCCAAGATTGTGTAATGGCTTAAAAAACGTTGCCAAATTTAGAATGAATTTGCACAATAATTCATGAGACCAAGGAAGGACCTCAATTGGAACACATTTGTAGGCCAAGCAGCCTCCATTTTCTGTAGAGTCTTGTGAAACCTCTTGGTGCTGGTGATGTGCCCTAAGTATTCAATTGAGTTTTGGAAGAAGCCATACATTTCTTCTTTCATTCATAATCTGCGCACATGCAGACATTTTAGGGTCTTCTTCAGATTCCTCAGATGCTGTTCCTCTGTGAAGTTGGTGATGAAGATATCATCAAGGTAGTGTTGTACTTCTTTTAGTCCAAATGGGATTTGGTCCATAGACTTCTAAAATAAAGCTGGGGTTGATGCGATCCCAAACAGGAGCCTTGTATAATGAAACACGCCTTGATGAGTCACTATCGTCAGTGGGTTTTGGGATTCAACAGCCGGTCCCATCTGCAGATAAACCTGAGATCTTTTTGAATATTTGGCCCCTTGCCAAGCCACTGAAGAGATCTTTGATCAGGGGAAATGGTATTTGTCTGCACAGAGCACTAGATTAACAGTAACTTTGAAGTCACTGCAGGTTCAGATTGATCCATCATGTTTGAAAACAGGTAATAGCAGAATTGCTCAGTCACTGATCAACACTGGCTCAAAATACACTGATGTCTACCTCATTAGATCTGCCTGTAATTTCAGATGGATGAATATGTAACACTGTGTGCCCTAAGACTTTTAGGTTGACTGTCTGATTGCAATTTGAGTTTAACCAGGATTCCCTTCATTTCTCCAACGGTGCCTTGAGAAACACTGTGGTGTTCTCTAAGGGTGTCTTGTCAATTTGTTTTGCGATCCACTTACTTATTCATGGCCCATTAGTTTAATTTTAGCTTCTGTAGTCACCAATGCCCGAATAATGCCAAGTAATGTCCTTTCACAATTTGGGGAGGGGTAGCTCAGTTACCTGGTTCTGTAGTTGCACCAACTTCATTTCCTACCATTTTAACCCCCTGCTCTGTGTAACTCTGAAGGTGATATTGAGCAGCTTGAATAGTAGATATTTCGGCTTTTCATTGTAAATTGTTTCATGAATAAGTGAAACCAGCTGCCCCAGTGTTGTCTCCATTTTGATGGGTTGTCAATCCAACTTAGGCACAAGCCAAAATCTATGCATTTTGTCCTAGACTGCCAGGACGTTTAATTTAAATTACTTGTTTGAGATGTTTGATTCACTAGTAGCATCCACATCTTCCTCAAGGCCTATAACATGGTCTTTGGGGTTGAGCTGATTTTGCTTTGGCAGGCATTTTTCTGGAGTGCTCTGTTTCCTCCAGCAGGTCCTAGCAATGTGACCTGTTCATTTACAGTTCTTGCAATGGTACCTCCTTACCCCCGCACCAACAGTAATTTCTGAAGGTTCAGATCTGCCCAACCCATGGCACTCCTGCTACTGCGCGTCAGTTAATGTACCCAGATGCTGGGCCCCAGCTGTGTAGCTTCTTTGGCTGCTAACTCCATAAACACTGCAATGACCAATCTTGTTTTAAGGTTTACATTTCTGATCTAAAACATTCCAAAACTCAAAATGTTCTGTGAGACACTTCAGGCTCACAATGAATTGAACCAATTCCTGTTCCAGTTGATTCCTTGTGATATCAGAATTTCTCCATGATTCGTAAGGGTTTGGGGACATAATGGTCCTCAAAACACCAACTAACTATCAGCACAGAGATAGTAGGAACTGCAGATGCTGGAGAATCTGAGATAACAAGGTGTAGAGCTGGATGAACACAGCAGGCCAAGCAGCATCAGAGGAGCAGGAAGGCTGACGTTTCGGGCCATTTCTGAAGAAGGGTCTAGGC